AGGGGTGTGAGGGCCCCTGGGGAGGGGACACTGCAGGACTTACGAAGGCAGGGGTTCTCAGTGAAGTCTCTGAGGAACTTCTCACACTCCTCCTCCATGTTCCCACTCCCGCGACAGCTGCACCATGGGGACACCACGATGCCAGTGAGGCTGGAGTCCACATAGTTGGGTGTCATGTCAAACCCTGGGCAGGGAGAAAAGGGGGCAAAGGAGAGGAGAACAGTGAGGCGTCCTCTTTGGGCCCCCAGACCTCAGGCACCACAGAGAAGAGGCTTGGGACCTTTCCTCCTTCCCATCTGCCCCCAAACCAACATCATCTTAACTAACGATTCAAACTCAGAGCATTACTATCCTAGCAACCACAGGGATCAGAGCGAGCAGAGGGGTGTGGGCACAGAGGACAGACCTGGATGGCCGAGGAGACACCCAGAAGCCCCTCCCTCAGCATGGCCCTTGCTTTCTCCTTGACCACCAAGCAGAGTGTGGTCTGGACTTAGGGCAGCTGGGCTCACATCCTGGGCTTGGACCTCAGTGCCCCTATGTACTCGCTAGGTGAACCTGTGCAAGCTGCTCCACTTCTGTAAGCCTCAGTTGCCTGATCTGTAAAATGGAGATCCCAACACCTCCCTGGTAAGTGCTGTTGTGAGAATTAAATAAGATAGCCCCTGTAAACTGCTTAATGCAGCACCTGGAATGTCGGAACCATGCAATAAATGTTACTTTTTCCTCTTATTTCCAAGCTTATGAGGTCCCTGGAGCCCTCTCCTGCCCGATAAAGAGCCGGCCTCGCCTCTGGTTTCCCATGGTACCTCTGGCTGAAACTGCCACAGAGACGGGCGAGCTCAGCCTGTCCACCCACTGGCCCTGAGCTTGGTCTGGGCCCCTGCCTGCTGAGGCTGGGGCAGCCTGGAGCCCACTGTGAGCCTAGACGCACAGGGGGTGGCTTACCAATCATGCCAGCATAGGAGCCCAGACACGCCTGGTAATTGTCGGCAGGGCAGCTGGTGAGCGTCTGGTAGGAGGCACGACAATTGGCATGGAAGTCCGCCAGCCGAGACCTGGTGTCAGGAGAAGACCCATGGAGAGAACAGTTTAGCGTGGCTGCCTTCCCGTCTCCTCTGTGGTAGAAGAGTTCCTCCCGCAGCTTCCTGGGGTGGAAAAAGCCAGGCAGTGGCAGAGGAGGACTGTGGGGGGCACCAAGCCGAGGCTGGACGCTGGGAGCACCTGGAGGGTGGGACTCCCAGAGAGCTGGGCACCCGGGTTAGACATGGCATGCTCTAGATGGATCTGTGCGTCAGAGGAACACAGAGACCCCAGAGCAGGTTTGCGAGAGTGCCTGGGGCCAAGTCAGGAAAGCTGAGAGCTGCTTTCTGTTCAGCCACACTCCTGGTGACCTTGCCCGAGTCCTGTCACACATCAGTCTTCCCACCTGAAGAATGGGTACAATAACCCAGCCCCAGCTACCTCATAAGATGCATCAGAGGTCCAAGGAGGTACGAGAATCCCCCTTGGTGACACATCCCGAGGGCGGGCTTGACCTGTGTCTTCCACATCAAACTAGAGCAAAGCCCCCCATGCCTCTCTCCACCAGCTTTCTCATCCCACTAAGCAGAATCGGCCTTTTCTCCCCCTGGGGACGTAACCTGCCATCACTGATTCCTCTCTGTCAGCACCAGTGACACTGCTTCAGGACTGTATGCGCACAGCCCTGGGTTCCCCCCTCAGCTATGAACTGCCTGGAGGCAGGCGCTCTCTGACAGAGTCTGTCCCCAGCTCCCCTGCCCCCCCACCCCTGCACCAGATGTGGAGGGTCACATGGTGCCCAGAGAACCACATCTAACCTGCACAGCAATTCCTGCTCCTTTTTCCTTCTGCCCTGGCCACTAGCACCCTGGCCATGGACCGTCACCATCAGCCTGGGCTGGGGCACCACCTTCCCTCCCTGTCACTGCCTCCTATAGGTAAGTGCCCTCTGCCATGGGGTCCTCAAGTGTCATATCCCTCGTGTCTTGCAGCAGGTGCAAGTGACGGATAATAAGGTCTTGCTCCTTGGGACTCTCCCAGCAATGGCACACAGCAGGACCTCAGCAGATACGTGCTCAGTGAGAACACTACAGGTGGACCAGAGCCCAGCTGTTGACTCCTTGTCCCTGCTCTCTCCACACCATAAGGTACCTCACAAAACCATCCCAAAGGTCATTCCGAATGCAGCTCCCCTTTGAGCAGGTAGAGAGAGAGAGAGACACCAGGACAGGCTGAGAGAACCCCATTCAAAGCAGGCTGCTGCCTGGGTCCCACCACAGGACAAATTCTGGTTAGCCTGGAGGCCCCAGGACCCTGAGGCATGGGGTTTGGGAGAAGGAAGAAGCTCTCTGGAGGGATTCGACACCAACCAGGCCTCGTGTGTCCCTAATCCCTGCAGCCCACAGAGGCAGCAAGGTGGGGGACAAGGGAGATGGCGAGGATCAAAGGGCTGGGGCTCTCACATCAGCTGGGCCCCTAACTCAAAGGTAGCACGAGGTGAGTCCTTGCTTCTCAGGGACTCGGTATCCTTACTTCGCAAATAAATCAGAAGTGACCTTAGTATATAGTTTAAAAGGTATTTTCACAGT